GTACAACTTCAATGCTACATGACGTTTGTGATTTTGCTACTACTTGTATGCTCTATGCATCGACCATTCCACTGGAATTATTTATCCCACCCACGTTACGTTTTGGTACAAATCTGATAAAGGAGCTTCTGGATATTTAGGTCCACATTCTGCCTTCAGGCTATGTATTCTGTCCTCAGAGTTTGTCCTTGGTGGCCCAATAATCAGAGCTGTCCACCTCATGTCATATCATCTTCATCTTTGAGATAACAGTACCATCACCTATTCCTTTTTGTCCTCCTTCAAGTTCCTTCAACTAGCAAAATTAAAAGGAACTTGAACTCTTGTGGGGACTGCCATTTTTCCTACATCCGGCCACTGCCACTGCACATGTAGAACCAGAAATGTTTTTGATTAAGGAAGATACCAGATTGACAAAAATAAAACAAATTAGAATTCATAGTTTTTAAGAGAGTGGGGAAATGGCCTTAGGGGATATATTGATATTTTATGTATCTTTCTGGATAGATATAAAAATAGAAATTATAAATATTTCCAATAATAGTGAAATGATGAAATCATGACAGATTCACAGATATGAATATGAAGCAGCCATTAGAAAGTCATATAGTACAAGTTGATTTATTGACATAAAAATGCATTTCACAATCTAAAAATGGGAGAGGGTGCAATATTTGAACAATTTGCATAGCATCATGTTACTTTTCAAAATACACTTATTGCTGTAGGTGTTTGGACCAGCAATCAAGATGTCAGTTATGATGGTCTTTTTACTTTTTACTAGTTGAACTAAGTCTTTGGCTATAAAGTAAAGTCAAAATGTATTTTCAAAAAGATTAAAAACGGAAGAGAAAGGAAAGGAGGGAGGGAAGTATCATTATATTCTTAGAATTGTATCTATGAATGACATGAAATCTGTTGTTTTTATAGTGATGAAAAAATGCAAATTTTTTAAAAAGATGTCAGCTAAGATGCCCATTATAGCGTCTGAGTTTGGTTTCCAGCTCCAACTCCTGACTCCAGCTTCCTGACAGTGGTGATGGCTCAAGCAACTGGGTTCCTGCCACCCACATGCAAGTTCAAGATTGAGTTCTGGTCCCTGGCTCGCTGCAGCTTCAGCCCAGCCTGGTCATTTCACAGGCATTTGGAAATAAACCAGCAGATGGGAACTCTTTTTCTCTCTTATAAATACAAAAAACAAAACGTAATTATGATGTATCTAGGTACCAGGGATGAACTTTGGAGAAGGGTATGCTCAGAAAGATCTAAGTGGTATCATCCAAAGTGATTTTTTTATATACATTTTTGTTTTTGAGTGTTTTCTGGGTCTTTTCCTAAGAGAAAGTGTTATATTGGGTAAGTTTTAAAAATGGGAAGAGAGCACTTTTTAAAGTCAAGACAGGAGTCTGGTTAATGTGACATTTGCACTGGTACTCCTTGCTGAAGTCCCACACGCCGTGTGGGAGGCAAAACAGGAATGTTGCGTTTTAGGCAGAATGATATTAGATGAACAGGTGAAGGGCATTGTAAGTACTAGAAGGAGTGCCTTCTTCAGGTTGGAGACTGCATCAGAAACCAAGGGTGAGAGTTGACAAGTACAGGGGAAAATGTGAGCCTGAGACAGGAATATATTTTTTTTTCCTGACCAGCAGGTGCAAGGCAGCTGGTTACAGGGAGGGACAAAATAGCAGAGAGAGGGAGGGATCACCAGGAGGGAGTCAGAAGAGAACTTCTTGGCACCAAGAGGGAGATTTGATATGCTCCCCTCCGTAGGAGCTCTTCTGACACCTGAGATGGAAGGTGACATTGAGATTCACAAGGGCTGGACAGGTGTGCGAAAAACCAGCCAGCCCGTTTTTACGCAGGGCACACAAGCCTTTTTGGACTTCTACCTCTCTCTAAAAATCAGGAAAAAGATAGCAAGAATGGTTTTCTAAATAGAGGTCATAACAGTTGGGTTTTGGAAAGAAATATATATAATTTAAATGGTTGGAATCAGGTGAAAAGCAGCTGTTTCTGGCCCAAGTTTCTGGCCTCTCCCCTTCTTCTAAACACTTTCATGACTCCAGTAACATTGGTCTCAGGCTTCGGCCTGACCCAACCCTGGCTGTTGCTGGCATTTAGGGAGTGAACCAGCAGATGGAGGCACTCTCTCTCTGTTGCTCACCCTTGCAAATATATACATACATACAGAAGCTGGATGGGAGTGTCCCAGGAGAGTGAATAACTTAACTAAAGGTATAAAGACACAAAAGGGGCCCTTACCTCCTCTGGTCCTGGTGGAGCCTTCTGGCCTCCCTACTCAAAGTTACAGTCCCACAGTGTACCCATCACTGCTTCCACCCCTCTCACACGTGATGTTTGTCCTGTTTCATTCACCGCCACGTTGGGCATTGACTTCTGTTGTGTACGGTCTGTGTTCTCACAAGAACATGGCCTCCACAGGGGCTGGGATTTGTGTGTGCATTTTCTTTTCTATCACATTACAAATGGCAGACATACCAGGGAGTATGTTCAGCTCTCTGGAATAGGATCATGCAAAGGGTCTTCTAAAAGCTCATGGAAAATGCACTTTATGAAAAAGCCGGCACCATGGCTCACTAGGCTAATCCTCCACCTGCGGCGCCGGCACCCCAGGTTCTAGTCCTGGTCAGGGCGCCGGATTCTGTCCCGGTTGCCCCTCTTCCAGGCCAGCACTCTGCTATGGCCCTGGAGGGCAGTGGAGGATGGCCCAAGTGCTTGGGCCCTGCACCCCATGGGAGACCAGGAAGAAGCACCTGGCTCCTGGCTTCAGATCGCCGCAACTTGAGGGGTGAACCAGCGGCAAAAGGAAGACCTTCCTCTCTGTCTCTCTCTCTCGCTGTCCACTCTGCCTGTCAAAAAAAATAAAAATAAAAAAAAACACTACGCATGGATTTCAAAGTTTTGTACCAAATTAAACATCTTTTAATTCTTTTTTTTTCTTTATACGTTTCGAACTACCCTCATCTATCTTGGAAATATAAGAAGTACTGGCAAATAGAGCTAGAAAATCAGGTTGGAATAAAGGGCATCCAATGTCCAGTTTGCATTTTTAAAATTTACTGAGTTGAGAATAATAAATCACTTGTTTTTCAGTACAATTGGTGAGCTTCAGGAAAATGAATCTGATATAGGGTAAAGATGAATTTGAGAGGGAGGGAGTTAGGAAGATAATATTAGAATCCATTGTCTAGTCTAGGAACTGGGTGAAAAAGCTTGTTTGGGGTGGTAGTTATACAAATAAATAGGAAGGGACAGCCTACATTCCAGCAGAGTTACATAAACATGACTGTTTTCAACGTCAATGAAAGACTGGAAAAACATACTGTAGCAGAGTCGCAGGAAGGAGTACCAAGCAGGCATCTAAGAGAACTACTGGCGTATGTATTCTAAATGTTTTGATAATCAACAATAACTAATTGCAAAGTATACATCTAGTAGGAATCCTGTTGTTTAAATATGTACATAAGTACTTCTATGTTGATGTGTTAAACTCATCTGGAAAATATACACAAGACTATTAATGTGCCAAAAGATATTTAGGAAGGTACTCACTGGTCCTTAATATGTCATATAGTTATTATGTCACGCAACTCTGCAATTTCATGATTATTCTATGAGCATGTATTGTTTTGTAAGACAATTTAAATAATCCAAGTAAATATATCTTTTAAAAGAAATACCAAGAATATACTTTTAACTATTGAAATCATTGGGGCTGGCACTGTGGCATAGTAAGTTAAGTCTCCATCTGTGGCGCCAGCATCCCATATGGGTACCTGTTCAAGTCTGGATGCTACACTTTTGATTCAGCTCTCTGCTAATGGTCTGGGAGAGCAGTAGATGATGTCTCAAGTACTTGGGCCCGGCACCCTCGTGGGAGACCAAGAAGAGGCTCTTGGCTCCTGGCTTTGGATCAGCCCATCTCCAGCCTTTGTGGCCATTCGAAGTGAACCAGCAGATGGAAGATCTTTCTGTCTCTCACTCTCTCTGAAACTCTGCCTCTCAAATAAATAAAATAAATCTTTTTTTAAAAAATAAAGTAAAAAAGAAATCATTGAAAATCTGCCATCTGAAATCTCTTGACACAAAATGTGTAAACTTTAAAATCTGAGTACAGTAGATGGACTAAAAATCTGATAAGGTGACTTTTAACTCAAGGACAGTAATAATACAAATGGTTTTGGAAGGCAGGACCTGAAGTTGGAGGCCCTGTTATTCAAGAATGAAGCCACTGTAGTACTTGAATCTAGCCCAGAGTCGGAAAGCATCTTCTGATTAATGAGTAATAGAAGTTAGTAAACCACACCCTGTGATCTCCTGGTAAAAGGTTAAAGTTGAAAATAATAGGTGTTTTACACACACACATACACACACATTTCATAGTTCCTGAGCCAAAACTCTGGTTGTATTTGCCAAAGGATAACAATGAGATCAATAAGAAATCTGGCATTAGAAGCATACTGCTGGGGTGGGCGTTTGTCCTGGTGGGTTAGGACACTGGTTGGGCTGCTCACATCCCATGTTGCAGTACCTGGGTTCATGTCCTGGCTCCACTCCCAGGTGCTGTCTCTGCTAATGCACACCCTAGGAGGCAGTGGATAATGGCTCATGTAGGTGGGTCCCTGCCGTGGACTTGGGAAACCAGTATTGAGTTCCGGGTTCCCAGCTTCAGCCTGGCCCAGCCCTTACTGTTGCAGCCATTTAGGAAGTGACCCAGCGAATGGGAGCTCTGTCTGTCTGCTCTCTGTCAAATAGACATTTTTTTTAAATTGTTTTCAAGAAAGTTTTAAAAATAATTTTCTAAAGAAACAGTCCAAGTAAAAAGTGATCTGAACCTAAATCCTCTATTGTGTTGAGTACTTGGATCAGAAAAAAGACTTTGTATGTTGTTGTTTGAAAAATGAGGAACATTATTCTATGAAATTACAGATACCTCTGACACCTTGACTTTATCATTGTTTTTAATGCCTTCCCAGGTGCCAGTTCAACTGACTCTGACAGTGAAAGTTTAACTTTCAAAGCAAAAGCTGGAGCTATGCCACAGTAAGTGCCTCTGAGTTGGTCAATTATCTGTATAACAAAGAATGGCAGTGGAATAGTGGGGGTGTGAAGCCACACACGCTGGGCTTTGATGGGAAAAGTCAGCTCTTGCCCATCAGAGATCAAATATTTGAAGTGGAAACATCATTTTTAATTCACAGATTTTATCTTTGAAGTTTGCATTTCATCATCGAATTGCCAGAATCTAACCAAAAATTGCGTTAGTTTCCAAGAAGGCTATCTGATTACAAATGTATGAAATGAGTAGTCAAATTGAAATCAAATCAATTAAGTCATTATTAAAATGTAAGTAACAACCATAAGCATCTAATTAGGTTCAAAGGGATTTTTCATTTGTGTGCGAAATCTATTTCTAGTTAGATCATGTACCTGAAAATTGTAAAATTTAGTTATTCCTATGTACAGATTACTAATAAGGTGTTGGTATCTTCATGCCTTTTGTAAAAATAATACAAAATTAAAAGAGGAATTTTGTAGAAATCTATTTAATGAGGTTGTGCTAATGAATTACTTTGATCTAGTGTATACATGAGAATTGTAGCATCTAACATCAGGAAATCACAGATGCCTAGGGGGCTGTATAGAAATCATTTACTTTACTACTGTTCATTTCTGATTCTGGCTTAAGGTTAGTGATGTTACATGACTTGCTTCAGATTACACAGCCAGCCACTTGGCGACGCTGGGCCTAGAAAGCAGCTCTTCTTCATCTTTGCCTTCTACCTCGTGTGTTTGCACTAAGAAAACGCAATAATCCCGAGATGCTGTGAACACAATTAGAAACCAGGACAAAGAACAGCTGCTAGACTTAAAGTACACAATCAAAACTTTGAGTTCATACAGCATCCTCACCCTAAAGATTTCAGATATGTTTACTGACAAAGATCTGACTTTTTCAAAGTGTTTTTTTCTTTTAGGATTTTCAGGTTCAATATTTTAGAATCTAACAATGTCTAAGTTGCATCTAGCAACTTTTCTTGGTTCATGTGTTTATTGTGCTAAATGTCTGTAAGGCATGGTTTCTGCAGGTACCCACCACAGCTCTGTTGGCTGTAAGTGGTGGGTTCCATTTCTCAAGCAGTTACAGTTGAGGTGCATTGAGCCTACAGAAAGAAATCTGGCTCTAGTATGGAAGTATTCCAATGAACTAACTCCTGGCTGAATACTTGTCCTCTCTTTTCCAGAGCTCAAAAGAAAACAACTTCTGTTTCCTTAACAATTGGATCATCATCTCCAAAGACAGGAGTGACTACGGCTGTGATTCAGCCCCTGTCTGTCCCTGTTCAGCAGGTAAGTACGCCTTGCCCCAGAGCCGCAAGGGGAGTTGAATTCAGCAGCAGATGTCTTGGTTTTCAGAATGCCAACTTGGATTCTAATTAGTACACCCCCTTGAAATATTTTCGAAGTGGAAACAACTGGGATAAAAGAAAATGATAGATAATGCTCTTTTTGTGGTCTACTAAAACTAATTTTTAATCAACGCCCTACCACCAATTAGTCAACTTCTGCCTTTCCATTGGGAACTTTCTTCTCAAAAAGCCAATAATATGATAAAATAGTACCTAATAATCAAGTAGCTGTAACTGTTGGATTATTCTCCCGCAAATACCCCCTCTTCCATTTAAATTCATTAGCTCAAAACAAAAGATAAGTCCACATACCAACAAAAAGCTTCTCTATCCCTAAAAGGTAGACAAATGAAGAGAAAAAGCACTTCAAATTCCTTGACTTCCTTTTTAGTCCTGTTTTTATGTCACTGTGAGACCACTTTATCCAAGAAAGAAAAATAATACGATCTACTGGAAAGTAACTGTAGTGAGTTTACTTTGCAAAAACAAATAACAGATTTTTTTTAACGCTGTATCAGGAGAGAGTGTTTAATGTAACTAGTTAGGCATCTGGGTCCCACATTGGAGTATCTGGGTTCAACTCCCAGCTCCGGGTCCAGCTGTGACCTCAGCTTCCAGCGACTGCAGACACTGGAAGCAGTGGTGATGCTGCAAGTCAGTGGATTCCTGGCATCCGTGTGGGAAACCTGGACTGAGTAGCAGGCTCTCAGGTTCAGCCTAGCCCAGCCACAGCTGGAGCAGGTATTTGGGGGATGAACTAGTGATTGGAAGATTAAGCCTTCTTGCTCTCCCTCTCCTCTCCTCAATTATCTCTAAATCATGAAGATATGAAAAATATTTTCAAATATAACATTCACAGGCGAATCATTACCTATTGAACCCTTTTAGGTATGTTCCTAAGTAGAGTATGTGATACTCTGATATGTGGAAAAATGCAAACAGTAGAGAGAAGACGTTTGAATTCATTAACTTGAACCAACCAGTATGAGTTACTCAAAGATGGCATATATAGTATATATTTCCTTTAAACCCCTAAACTGGAGCAGAATTTATGAAAATATTTCTGATTGATCCGTGAACTTTTTGGTGTTTGTTGTTTAAGTATTGGTAAGTGTTAACACTAGACATTTTAGGGCAGAAAAAAACCAGGTCACCAGCCCATTCCCAAACAATTTGTCAACAACCCTGAGAAATAGGTGATGTACACATGAACCACTTCTTTTTTTTTTTTTTTTTTTTTTTGACAGGCAGAGTGGACAGTGAGAGACAGAGACAGAGAGAAAGGTCTTCCTTTTGCCGTTGGTTCACCCTCCAATGGCTGCCGTGGCCGGTGCGCTGTGGCTGGCGCACCGTGCTGATCCGAAGCAAGGAGCCAGGTACTTCTCCTGGTCTCCCATGGGGTGCAGGGCCCAAGCACTTGGGCCATCCTCCACTGCACTCCCGGGCCACAGCAGAGAGCTGGCCTGGAAGAGGGGCAACCGGGACAGAATCCGGCACCCTGACTGGGACTAGAACCCGGTGTGCTGGCGCCGCAAGGCGGAGGATTAGCCTAGTGAGCCGCGGTGCCGGCCTGAACCACTTCTTGAACGTGGCAGAACACGTTGGGGTCTAACACAGATGCCTGCCAACAGCAAGATGCACACGCACCTAGATGTAAGCAGTGCACTGTAGAATGGTTAAAAGGTGCTATAGCCCACTTTCACAATTGGGAGCGTGATGTGCTCCGAGAGACGCTAGCACTTAGCTCTCACAGACTGCAGGACGTAAAGGTCAGTGCTCTGGAGAGCCACTGCCTGGGGTTGCCTGCCAGCTCTACTCTCACTTACTGTCTGAAGGACCTGGAGTGAGCAAGGTGACCTCTCTGCGCCCAGTTGCTTCACCTGCAAAGTGCAGACAACCATGCCGCCTCTCACAGCTTCATCCCAGAGATTCAGGGACTTAATCCTCCCGTGACACTTAGGACGGTGCCTGGCCGAGGAAATCCTGTAAAAAAGTGTCCATATCTTATTTGGACCTCAAAAGACAGTGAGAAATAAAGCCCAGACCTCCTGAATCACAAGTCCGTAAGAAAGTCTCCCCCGGGGGTCATGAATCAGGTCCCTTCCCGCCCTAGCACGTCTACAGTTCGGCCAACAAACTCTGTGGTGTCCTGTAGCATATTTAAACACACAGTGTCAGATCACCTTCGTCCTGGGCTAGCAAACCAGTAACCACGAGTGTAAGTGGATAAAACAGAACGTTTGAAAATAAGTCATTGGGTGCTAGAATGACACATGGCCTCTGTGCAAGGATGCCTTGCAAATTCGTGAAGCATTCCGTATTTTTTCACTGAATTAGACCAGGTACATGACAATATACCCTTCTTTCCCCCACATTATGATCACTGTCATGAATCCCTCGCTTTGTGATATTAATATCTCTTGTTTTCTAAAAAAAAAGTATTATCTACATGTATGGGTGTAACATCTACAAGTGAAGTGAATGTGGCAAGAAGTTAAAAATTGTTAAATTTTAAAACTATAAAAAAATAGGTAATTGGACACAAAAAACATTTTCCATTCACTACTCTGAAATTCTTGTATTTCCCTGGAGATGAAAGCCATTCAAATTTTTCAGCACCTTTGCATTTTGCACATCGAGGTAAAAAATATTCCTCCTTTCCTCATTTCCTGTAATCCCTTTATTGAAAAAGAGTAGAAGTTAAAAATAGTATAGGCTGATGCTCGAGAATTTACTTTTTAGTGCCAGTAGCTTATATTTCTAATTTGATGGATCCAGCCTGTATTTAAAAAGAAAATGTAATGTCTGTGAGAACTTTTTAAAAGACCTCTGTGGAAGTCCCACACACCGAAATCCATTTGGTAATAGCATTTGAAAGCTCCTGGCTCCCTGAGGACACAGTCAACTTTTACCTTGAATATCCTTTTGAACAGAGAAGAGTAACAGATGTGAAATGAGAAAGTAAAACAATGTGTGTACTGTAAGAGCAGACGAGCAAGATGACGTATGGGGTCCTTCCGTTCCCTCGTTCGCGCAGTGGCGCGAGCTCCGTCCTGAGCGGCTTCTGTAGTGCATCTCCTCAGCAGTGTCTGTATTTAGAATTTGATCCGTGCGTCTCTGCCTTTTCAGGTCCACAGTCCAACTTCGTATCTCTGCCGACCCGAGGGGACTGCGGCTGCCTACTTTCCTCCTGTTTTCACCAAGGTCTGACATCTGGAAGTCTCATTCTCCGGGTTTGCTTTGGTCCTTAAGTTTCACTCACATGCGGCTCTGTGTAGCTGTCTTCAAAAATGCAAATGGACAGATGAGTAGGCTGATTGTCCTGCTTACCTTTGGGACTAGGGAGAGACTTGCTGAGCAACTGCCGAATGGCTGTGACGTTGGGAAGGGAACGAGAGATGGGGGTGCATGCGCAGGGGCCCACTAGAGCTTCATATCCAGTGCGCAAGGCAAGGCAGGGAGAGAAAATGAGAGGCAGTGCTCTGTTAACGTTCTTCTTCTTCTTCTTTTTTTTTTTTTTTTCCGCTTAGAAATGTCTTGGTAGATTTATAGCCATTTCTAAAAATGGATTCATTTTCAGATGCCCTAAGTTGGCAATTTGCATTGCAAGCTAAATGACATCCATTTCTTTGGTTGATCGCTAAAATCCCAAATGGCCGCATGTAGCATTTCTTCATCTTTCTCCTCCCCCCTCCTCAATTGTAAAACTTTATTGAAAGACACTTAAAAAGACCCAAATAAGTGGAGAAATATGCCATGCTTATAAACTGAAAGGCTATTAAAGAAGTCATAACTCTGATTAATCTGTATATCATGCAGATCTAAACTGAAATTTCCCCAGGTTTCTTCTGCTCATCCTTTATTTGATAAGAATTTAGCAACCTGGTTTTATAAGTTGTGTGGACTAGGAACTAAACCAGAGGCAATGGGCTGTTTGGCCTAGTGATTAGCTCGTGGCTCACCTAGCTCCAGCTTCTTGCTAATGCAGTCCAGGAAGCAGTGGTGATGGCCACTCACATAACCTAGAATAAGTTCCCAGCTCCTGGCACTGGCCTAGACCAACCCTGGCTGTTGGAGGTATTTGGGGAATGAACCCGTGCTTTGTCTTCTATTTAGAGCTTTGTCTGTTTGTCTTTCTGCCTCTCAAATTAAAAAAGAAGAAGAACCAGGCTAATCCTGAAGAAACAAAACAAGGTGGTGGTGGTATGGAAGGAGGCGGGTTTGTCTGAGATGGGCGGTATCACTCACAGTGCTAGAGGGACTGATGAGTGATTGCAGCAGAGCCCACGAAGGCGTCCCAGGACCTACAGAAGCTTGCAGGTCCCTGGGGGAAAGAGTGAATTCTTTTGCAGAGATTATAAAATATTAAAGCAGACTCCTACCCATTCTTTTCACTCACACACACACACACACACACCCAAATCGATTCCCAGTAAACTTAAAAACAAACATGCAAACAAATCTATACAACTATTATGAGGCGATACAGAAAGCCGTCTTCATTATCTTCATGTAGAATGTGCTTCATTAAATCTTTGTATAAGCGATTATGGGATTTTCCATTTGTTGCGTGAGCCGCAAATGATAGCAGCTGACAACAACTTTGGAGCTCCCCTCCTAGGCAGAGTTCAAAACCAAATATCATGGGGCAGGTGTTGTGCCATAGTGGGTAAAGCTGCGCCTGTGATGCCAGCATTCGAGTCCTGGCTGCTCTACTTCTGATCTAGCTCCCTGCTAAAGGCCTGGAATAGCAGCAGAAGATGGCCCAAATGCTTGGGCTCCTACCACCCACATGGAAGACTTGAAAGAAGCTCCTGGCTTCAGGCTGACCCAGCCCTGGCCATTAAGGCCCTCTGGGGAGTGAAAGAGCAGATGGAAGGTCTCTCTCTCCTTCCTTATCTCTGTCTCTCTCTCTGTAACTCTGTCCTTCAAATAAATAAAATTTTAAACAAGAAAATCATGAGGGGGCTGGTGCTGTGACATGGTAGGCTAAGCCTTTGCCTATGGCACCAGCATCCCATTTGAGTGCCAGTTCATGTCCCAGCTGCTCTTTTTCCAATCCAGCTCTCTGCTTATGGTCTAGGAAAGCAGTAGAAGATGGCCCCAGCATTTGGGCCCTTGCACCCACGAGGGAGTCCTGGAAGAAGCTCTTGGCTTCTATCTTCAGATAAGCCCAGCACCGGCTGTTGCAGCCATTTGGGGAGAAATCAGTAGATGGAAGACTTTTCTCTGTCTCTTTTCTCTTTGTAACTATCAACTAAATAAGATTTTATAAAAAAATATGAAAAGCCCTACCAAAAATTGCACATGACTGGACCAGCCAATTGCATCTTCCTTTAAGGTGGAGAATAGGAGACGGATACAGAGGGGTGGGCACTTCCCATTGCCTCTGTAGTTGAAGAGCTTTTCCCAAACAGCTTCTTCAGGGCGTCCCCAGAAAGTGTGTGTGCGCTGAAGTGTTGTTACCCAGGACACAGTTCATTTGCCAGGGCCCGGTGTGGTTCTTGGTTTAAACCTGTGAAGTTCCTACCACTGGTGTAAGGGCATGGGGAAATGGGGAATTCTGCTTGTCCTCACCACAGGGCTTCACCGTGATGGCCTGGGTGTGTAAATATCAGGGGATTCTCTGGGCACCAATTTCTCTGGGTCCTCAAATTCTATATACAGAACCCTGTTTCCTCCATTGCACTCCAGCTTTGAGATGCAGACATTCTATTAGGGACCCTTTTCCTTTTCCCTCCAAAAAAAAAAACATGAAGCATTTTGTTTGTTAACCATATAGCTTAAACAAGAAGTAAAACCAAATTCTAAATTTGTACAGAGGTTCATCTTTTAAAAATCTCCAGCTTTGGGTCGCTGGAAGCGCAGCACCCATCATGGGCAGCTCCAAGCCTCCAGTTGCTTTATCTTGCCTGGAGCCCATCTGTTTTCAGTAAGTTTGTTCCCTTCTTGCCTTGCAGCTGATTTTCCCTGTTCCCTTTGGGTAACTTGTCGCCCTGCTGTGCTGGGTCCTCTTCAGTCCGGGGTCCTGGTTTTAGAGGGTCGATTTTAGGAAATACTGCTGATCCTGTCTGTAACTCACGTTGACCTTCACCTTGTCATCCTCCTCACCTTGTTTGATCTTGCTCTTGGACACGATGGTGATGAAGGATAGCAAATGGGCTCTGCCAGGCCAAAGGGTGCCTCCATCCATTTCCTCACACGCCTCTGGAAGAGATTCCCGGGTTTCATGGCTGCACAGTGGCAGGCCACCCAGCAGAGTGTGGGCATATTCAGGCAACAGGGCTGGTATGGACGATGGGATGGGGAGCTGTAGGGGTACAAGGATGACCAGGAGAGCAACCACTGGGTGACCAGGAGAGCAACCACTCCCATATAGCATTTCTTTCCAAATAGTTAGAGCCCTCCAAGAAATCATTTTATCAGGTGGACTTGATGTATGACAATCAATGCCCTTGTATGGATCCTAAAACACCCCTTACAGACCCCAGTTCCTACAGAGAGATGCTTCTCATTGCAAAGGATAGCCTCTAAAGATTGATTCACAATCTTTTTGGAGGCTTCTTGTTATGTTCCTGAAGGTTCTCCTAATGGCTTACTGTGTTTAGCTGTGGCTATATATAGACCTAACTACATATAGTTTGTTTTTAATTGACATTTCAGTACAGGTATACAATATGTAATGGTCAGGGAACCTGGTGTATCAACTCAGGCATTTACCATTCCTTTGTGTTGAAAACATTCAGAATCTTCTCAACAAGCCATTTTGAACTACCCAGTTAGTTGTTGAAAACCATCGTTTATCTGCTGTGCTATAGAACATTCTTCCTATCCAGCTGCATCCTGTACCTGTTAACCATCCTTTCTCCATGTCTGCCACACCCACACCCTTCCCAAGCTCTGATAGCCACTATTCTGTTCCTGACTTCTTTCACTTAAGGTAATATCCTCCATTTCCATCCATATTGCTGCAAATGTCAGGATTCCATTCTTCAATGTGGCTGAATAATATTCCATTGTGTATTCTTACCGCATTTTAAAAATTTGTTCATCCATTGATGGATGCCTTGGCTATTATGAACACTGCTGCAGTAAACATAAGAGTGAAGGTACCTCTTTGATGTACTGATTTCATTTCCTTTGAATATATACCCAGTAGGAAGATTGCTGGGTCACACAGCTTTTCTATTTCTAGTTTTTCGAGGAACCTCCTTACTGTTTCCACAATGGATGTACTAATTTACATTGGCACCAGCAGTTAATGAGAGTTCCTCTTCCTTTGCATCCTTGCCAACATTTGTTATTGTTTTGTGTGTGATAATAACAATTCTGACAGGTTTGAGATGATATCTTGTTGTGGTTTTGATATGCATTTCCCTGATGATTAGTGATGTTGAGTATCTTTATTTTCAAATTCTTGTTTAGCTATGGTTTTTGCCAAGATAAACAAGTTTGCTTCAGGAGGAGCCAAATTGAAATTTGGCTATGGGATAACTATGGAGTTTTGACTGTATAAGTTCCTTGGCATTTCCCATTTCTGCATCTCTGACTTTACAATATGGGAAATAATGCCTAGTCTTAGGAGTAAATCAAAGTCCCTCTCAGTGCATGAAAATTCAAGCATGGAAAACATTTGGGTACCATTTGTAGCCTACTATGAATGACCCCCTAGATAAGGCTGGAGACGCTGAGAGGCTGGACCTCATAAGGAACGTCTGTTCTGTGCCATTAAACTACCTCTTCTCTGGACCCAATCACAAAGTAAAATAATTTATTTGAAGCCAGAGATTTTCTACATTTAAAAATAAGAGCAGTGGTCATTGTGGCATAGCTGGTTAAGCTATGCTTGGGACACCTGCATCCCACATTGAAATGTTAGTTCGAGTCCTGGCTCCTCTGCTTCCAAACCCTCTTGCTGCTGATGCATTCTGGGAGACAGTAGATGATGGCCCAAGGACCTGAGTGGGAGGGAGACCAAAGATCCTGTCTTTAGTCTGGTGCAATGCTGGCCGTCGGGGGCATTTGGGGAGTGAATCAGCAGATAGAAGACCTCTCTCTTCCTCTCTCTTTCTCTGTCACTGTGCCTTTCAAGAAGATAAAACCAATTTTTTTTAAAAAAAATAAGCATTCTTTACAGTTAAGGAGAAATATTGCAATCAGAGGTCATCTTTTTCACTTAAAAAAAAAGGACATTTTTGTTAATTACTAAAATGTTACTATGTATGTCCTCAGACTTCTGACTTGATTATGGTTGTTCTTGTGCCAACATCCTGGATTTTCAGGATTTCCTTGGGGCTTTAGCATGTATACTGCAGGCCATTTGCTGTCCCCTGAGATAATTAAAAGCTCCCCATATTCCTAATGTGAATGTGTTTGTTTTTGGTGTATAGGTAGGTAACGTACTTGATTATGTTTGAATCATTGCAAGAGCTTATTAGATCTAGTTCTGCCTATATATACATAGTCAAAAAGTATATATGTATGTAGTCAACAAGTTCAAATAGTTCTGGTTTCAAGGTCATCTTGGAGGAGGAAGGAGGAAAGAGGATGTATGCTTGGAAACTATTAATGTCCTGATATTTAATAACTGGTAGAAAGGCTTTACCTCTTTGCATCTGTAAAGCCAAATTAATTTATAATCTGCTGGATTGTAAAAAGTTATTGGTCTGCATTTGGAGAGGCGACAGGGCCAATACAGGCAGTAGCAAGCAAGAAGGAAATGAAAGTCAGTGAGGAGGAAGTGTGGCAGGTTTTATGATTGTACTCAGAATCTCAAAATGAGAAAATACCAAAACCTCTTAGCTAAATAAACTTGACCTAGGAAGCAGTCAGGTAGAGGCTGGGGGAGTACATGAAAAGTTAAGACTGCATGAAAACAGTGCTCTCTTTTTTCTCTTCTTGTCTGGTTTCCATCTGCAGTGTAATAATTTTAAGAAGTTCTCATTCCATCAGCTTAATCTTGAGTGTAGATAAAGAGAGGTAACCGCTGGCAGGGTTAAGTTCCCTAAGTGTGAATGAGTCGGTGCAAATTTGAAGACCCGTCCAAAAGTTGCACAGGGTTTATGGCAAACCTTGCTAATTTTATGTCATAGAGATTGTGAAAAGTTGATTGTCAATGGGTTTAAAGGTGTTTATCCTTACCCAAGCTTGTGGTGCTTATTCTTTTGATAAGAGTGTTGCATTTTTTGTTTGCTTTTGTCTAAGGTTGGGAATTTTTATTTTCTGTTGTGAAACTGCTTAAGAATGTACCAAAATCTGATAGAGTGTTTTCCTTGATTTTTCAGGAGCTGCAAAACACAGCAGCGTCCGAGGGCCAGGTGGTGGTCCTGGAGTGCCGGGTCCGGGGCGCGCCCCCTCTGCAGGTCCAGTGGTTCCGCCAAGGGAGTGAAATCCAGGACTCTCCAGATTTCAGAATCCTACAGAAAAGTAAGGGCAGGTGCCCGTTCTCTCGAATCGGACCATTTCATTCCTTCTAGCTTCAGGGAGACCAAGAAAGCCAAGGCATTCTGATGAATTTCTTTGTTTTCAGAGTGGGGAGACCAGATGTTCAGCCAGTGCCAGGTCCCAGAAGTTAGAACTGGGGCCCTTCAAAACTGTGATGAAGCTTACTTGCCCTTCCTGCAGAAAAGTGGTCACAAGCTCACAAGCTCAAAATTACGTAGATGATTTTGGGGATGTTCCCAAGCCTCCCATAGCCTCTCTGTGAACTGTGGTTTAAAGAACTTCGTAGTTTATTACCATAACTTGAGTATCTATAGAAATATAAATTACCTGATCACTGTAACTATGTCTTGTGTATTCCCGAACTTGTCTCCAAAATTTCTGTAGACTTGTCCCAGACAAGGTCATAGAAAAGGGTAGATGGATTTATTACTATTGGGAACCCTGTTCTAATACTCTGTTCTGATTTATTTTTTTTTCTCGTGTGGCAAACAGAACCTCGATCTACAGCTGAACCTGGTAAGAATCTCTTTTTGTTGTTGTTGGGGGTTGGGGGAGAGGTTAATATATCTTCCGGACTTCAGTCGCTCCTGTGTCTGCTTTAAAGCCCTGAGCAGAACAATGGTTTTGCAGTGCCCTGGAAATGTGAAACCCCCTTGAAGACAGTATCTTCTTTATCATGGACTCTGTACACTGCGCTTTACATCAGCTTCTTTATTAGTAAAACATTAAGTTTCATTCAGATAACAAGGTCAAGCTCAGTATATTAAGACTTTGTAAAAAATGTAGTCTTTTATACTCAGAAGGCTAAGGAGGAAAAAAAAAATCCTCCTACAATTCGAGCAGTAAAGCACAGTCGGTTGCATATTTCCACCGACCAAACCCCGTGAAGAGCGAGACCGCCCGGCTCGGAAGTGGGTCTTGACTGAGAGCAGCCCAAAGATGTAAGAGGCCCTGACCCCCAGGCGTTTCTCACTGCAGTGCCCTGAGCCATAGACCTTTACTATTTTCAAGCATGAGGAGAGTCATCTTGCACTAGGGTCGCTGGCTCTTAATTACCAGTCATTGGCCCTCATCCGGGTGCTGTGTGTTCCCGAAGCATCACGCCCACTGTTTCCCCAACTCAGACTTGTAACTCGTGACTCCTCGCAGACTCAGAGTGTGAAAGGGCAATAGAAATGTCTTTTCCAGGGATTTCCTAGTATGTCATCCTCAAGACCATTTTCTTTAGTGTATCTCTCATGTGCAGAGTCACAGTTGCACTTATTTCTTAACGAGGTAGAAAAAGAAGTCGTTTTCCTGTTTGTGTTGTGTGTGCATCAGGCAGATCCTGCCACAGGTGCCAGGGACCTGTGACCTTGCTCTGTCCTTCTCTGGGAACTTGACAGTTCTGTGTGGGCCACTGCAGCCCAGATAGATGACTGCGGTCAGTCGCTGAACCTCTCGCATCTGAGCCTTGGGTTCTGCAGAATATGAAGGTGTTAAGCTTCCAAGTTTCAGGAATGCTGAGTGGCATCCTTAGGGAAAAACTGGGATTGATACATCGCGTGAGTTACAACTAGACTGGGTCAGTCCCCACATGCCACACTGTCAGTCGCTTTCCCAACTGTGGAAAAACACACCTTTGTATTTCATTTACTATCTTTTTTTTTAAAAAAGATCTATTTATTTGGTTTGAAAGTCAGAGTTACAGGGTGGGGCTTTGCTCCCCAGATGGCTGCAACTGCCTGCAGCAGACCAGGCCACAGCTAGAAGCCCGGAGCTTCTTCTGGGTCTCCCATGTGGGTGACAGGAGCCCAAATACTTGGGCCATCTTCAGCTGCTTTCCCAGGTCATTAGCAGGCAGCTGGACTGGAAGCAGAGCAGCTGGGTCTCGAACCAGCACTCATATGGGATCCTGGCATTACAGGTGGCAGCTAACCTGCTACGCCACAATGCCTGTCCCTCATTTACTATCTTAATCAGAGTTAGAAAGAAATAAGTCTTTTATCTTTAATAAGTACTATGTGAAACAAATCTACAAAGTAACTTGTGTCTTAATGCTTTTTATACAAATAAGGGTAAAATCATGCTAAAAATTATAAAAAGGTTACTGCTGGAATGAATTCAGGCCATTTTTGGTGTTACATGTTGGGTGGTGAGCAGATTCATGCCACTCCTTTTCCATAGTGCTGTTATCCCTTGTCATCTTCTGTATAGGTGACGATGGTTTCTTAAATGCCTCCAATAACCTCAGTTACAAAATCATAAACTAAGTGTCATCTGAAGATACAAAACACTCGTTAGAAACTGTGTGATTTACTTTTAAATTTGTACATATGTGAAGACAGGAAACCCTCAGAACATACTGGTTAAGGAGGAACACATTTGAATGAGGAGGCAGAATGCAAATATCTCTTATCCTTGCCCCCTGACCCCTGACCCCTCACCCTACACATACTGCTTCTGATTCAGATAGGGTGGGATGTTTTGATTCTAGAATATAGTTTTTTATTCATAAATTATTTAGCAAAATTAGTACTAAGCAGCTTCATAGAATCACCTAATGTCCAGGATGCGCTTCAATGCCTTGTGGTTGAACAAAGCAAAATTTGGAAGAACAGGAATAAAAGGTCTTTCTTTTAAGCTCCATGTCCGAGCAGGGATGAAGGGTTTTTTTTCTCTCCACATTGCTGCATTTTCTTGTTTTTATTTTTGTTTTAGTTAGATCTGGAAGCATTTAAGGAAATTCCTCCATACCAAGCACAATGATAGCATTTGCTGAAAATCAATATTTCTTGGCAGAGAGATATTTCAAGTTAATCTGTCAATATAAGAAGAAATATACAGTCCACATTTTTAGTGTATATATACACACACATACATATATAGTTAAGAGTTATTAAAATGCAACAGATTTTCCCTGACCTCTGGTGACTTCTCCACGATTGTGTTTGCGTGGCACTATTGGAACTGCTCCCTTCGCTCTTACAGCAAAGCATTTCAGTGCTGTGTTTTAGGAAATCCTCACTTGGCATGTAGCATGACATACACGCTTTGATCATATTTGTTAAACAAACACCTTAAACATATGAATACTAGAGTTTATCAGTAAGAACTTCAAAACAAGCCAGTGGATAAATGTATTTAGACAATGTTTTGACATACCTACAGAACCAGGTATGATTCTCTTACTAATTGCCAGATAGGTTCCTTATGCTGGCCTTGAAGGTGCCTTGTCGGAGGAAAAGGCACAGAAAGATGCCAGACTGTTTCCTTGCCTTCAGGGACCTGAAGCTAAGGGCCCACTGACCTGCTCAACCACAGGGAATGCGAGCAGGCACTGGCCTCCCTGAGAGCTCTGTGTGAGCCACCGGGGAGCAAAAAGGAGAAAAGCAGACATGACCACAGTTCATCTGAGCAAGAGATAAATTTCATGGGACTTGGTCAGTGATCGTTTTCAAATGTTGTAACGTAAATAGCCTTTGAAATTCAGAAAAATATTTAAGCATTCAGATTTTATTGCCTTCTGTTCCCACCCCTCTCTCTTCCTCTGTCTTGTTAACTCTGCTCTCTCCTCATTGACTGGCTCCTCTTTCTATCCCCCCCCACACACACACACCCGCTTCTTGTTTCCCCGTCTCTTTTTCTTTCTCCATCTCACTCCTTTGCTCTTTTAAAAAATCTTTGTTTATATATTGGAAAGGGGGAAGAGAGAGAGAGAGAGAGAAAATGAGAGAACAAGAACTTCCATTGTTGGTTCACTCTCCAAATGCCTGCAATAGCCAAGGCTGGGCTAGTCTGAAGCCAGGAGCCAGGAACTCAATCCAAGTCTCCCACCTGGCTGGCAGGAAACCAAGTACTTGGGCCATCATCCGATGCCTCCTGGGTATATGAACAGGAAGCTGGATCGGAAGCAGAGCAGCCAGGGCTTGAAGTAGCACTCCAGTCTGGGATGTAGGCATTCGAGCTGCACTTAACCCGCTGTACCCTGCACCTCAATTCTCCATTCTCTTCTCTCCTCTTCTCTCTCTCTTTATGTTTTATATCTTCTTTCTGCTAGTGCAGGGGAGGGAAAGGGCCACTTTAATGAGAAACTGCAAGCTGAGATGGGGCCAGGATTCTGTGACAGGAGACCATGCAGTGGCAGTGCGAGACCAGCAGAGGGACAACAGCAGGGTACAGCATCCAGGGGAGCAAGTTCATGAAGAAACCACTCAGAAGAGACAAACAGGTTGTGCTCAGGCCCAGGGCAGGGGTGATATCTGCCAGGGTACTCCCACCACTTGTGGCTGCTCCTTCCTTGTTCCTAGTCTGTCGTCAGCCTCGTGTCACAGCTGTTCCTGCTGCAGCACCTGATGTGGGACCAGCCACAGCCACAGCCACAGTGAGCTGCTGGGGCCAAGGGCCTGGAGCATGCTGGGAAGAAAATGAGTGGAGAGAGCCCTGTGGACCCCACTTACCCACCCATCTGCCCCTGAGAAAGCTACTCTCCCTGAGCAGTGGCTGAGCCCATCTGCAGAGAGGACACAGTAGGTTAGCTCATGGACATTGCTGCTGGCCCTAGAAGATACCAGTGTTCACAGAGGCGTGGCCAGAAAGGGGATCTGCAGGGAAGGGCAAGAGGCAAGTCTCTTCTCAGCTACCAGGACCAGTCACCCAGTGTCCCCTCTCCCCTGGACCTGATGGCTCCTGGCACTTGGACAGGGCGTCAGAGTCCTGGGTTTTGATGCCAGAGCATTCTAAAGACTGGAGTTGACAGTCAGCGTTTCTGTCATGCCCTGCCCCTTTGCAATCTCAAGGCACAAAACAGCTCAGGACCAGACCCAGGCCTCACGACGCTGCTCTGCTCCAGGCAACTCTGCCTGGCTCCAGGTGCCTCCCTCACTTTCAGCCCAGTGGGTGGAGGCCCAGCCTGGGGACTGGTGGCTGGTCTGGCTGCTTTTGGTCCCAGGGCAAGAGTCAGGACTGAACCTGTACTCGGGGTGGAAATGTGGGATGAGGACCCCAGTGGGAGACCCTTCTTGGCTTATCTTCCTGTTCACAACATCAAGCAAAGCAGCAGCACAAGCTCAGTGACGTCCCGACAGAGTTTTGTTGGAAAGGCTTCAGATGTGCAGGGCACGGCCTGGCGCGCAGGACAAGACCTCCAGGGGACACTGTTAGAGCGTCCAACTCCCGGCGGGAGTGGGAGAGTGACCCCATGAGCACGAGGAGCAGAGCACAGGGGAGCAGACCGACAGGTGGGAAGCTGAGTCCCAGCCCCCTTGGCACAGACGCTCGTATGTGCTGATGTAGGCTTTGCAGCTGGAGCATGTGAGAGTCGCATGTGGATGAGGCAGGGGATGACCCAGCAGCCCAGGTCACACCCCATGAAGCAGCAGGAGAAACCCAGCACACAGTTCATTAGGTCAGTCTCCTGCGAGATCGCGGCCACCCTCATTCATGGCAAGATTTCTATACACACTGATCGTCAGTTAACACGTGGTAATTGTGCGTCTTTACAGGATACAATTCAATGCATGTGTATCACGTGTACT